AAAAAAAAAAAAAAAACACATGAAAAGAACTTTATTAAGGAAAATTCCAATTAAAACAAGTAATTATAATTTTGTACCCACAAATTGGCAAAAATGTAAAAGTCTGGTATACCAAGTGTTGGTGACAATGTGTAATGACTAGAATTTTTATACACTATTGTGAAAGTGTAAATTACTATCTTCTTGAAAAACAACTTTAGCAGTATCTTGTAAAGTTAAATATGCATATACCCTATGATCCAGCACTTCCACTCCTAGGTATATACTAGAGAAACTTCCACCCTGTATATATAAATCTTAAAATTTATAGGTCCTTCTGTCTTTTTCTCTTGGGAAAAAAAAATTAGCTGAGTTGTTTGTCCTGCAGTCCTAGTCTCTCTTGAGCCCACCTCAATCAGAGTTTCATCCCCAGAACTCCATCAAAAATGTTCTTGTCAGGCCGGGCATTACAGGTGGCTCACACCTGTAATCTCAGCACTTTAGGATGCTGAAGCAGGAGGAACACTTGAGCCCAGGAGTTCAAGACCAGCCTGGGCAACACAGTGAGAGAGAGAGGGAATGGTAACACATTTTCGATAGTATGTGGAATGCTCTTGGAGTAAGGATGAGGGGGAAGAGACTCAGGACACTTCAGTGGTACCAATAATGTTCTGTTTCTTAGCTGGGGAGTTAGTTCATGGATTTCTATGTTATCATGCATCCTAACTTACATATATGGGTTATATATGTTCTCCTGTATGTATCAACTACTTCAGTTACAAAATGGAACACACACACACACACACACACACACACACACACACCCCCCAAAAAGATCCAAATAGCTATAGGAGGAATTAAAGAATCATGCTCCAAACAAAGGAACAGCACATACAAAGGCCATGGGGTGGGAACAGTTACTGTGTTGGAGGACTTGATCAGTGTGCCTGGAGCACTGTAAGCAAGGGAGACGGTGGTTTGAGACAAATTGGAGAGGTGTGCAGGAACTAGATCTTGAAAGCCCACCGTAAGGAGTTTGGATCTGATTCTAAGTACAGTGGGAAGCTAGTGGAGGATTTAAGCCGGTGAGAGACATGATCAGATTTATGTTTGCTAAAGTTTTTTTGACTGCAGCTTTGGCTGGGTTACATGCCAAAAGTGAGCTTCCCAAAATATGAAAGAACACAGGCAAATTTAAGCTTTCTAGCCGTTCATTTGACCAGAAAATAAGTAATAAAAGTAATAAAAAAAAAAAAAAAGAGGGGGACATATATTTCAGAAAAGAAAACTGCTTCTGATTTCTGTGATTGGGCTATAGGAGTCAATAGAGGAAGCTGGAATACCAACATGGAGACAGTTGTGGTTATTCAGGAAGGTGGCGATGGTGGCTTGGACCAGGGTTATTTTGAAAGAAGAGGAAGTGAGGGAAATGAAGGATTAAAGGATCTCTCCTAGATTTGGCCTGAGCAACTTGGTGAATGGTGGTGCCACTTAACTGAAATAAGGAAAACTGAGTACAGTATAATGAAAAAGGAGTGTTGTAGATGTGTTTGAGGCTTAGAAAGGTGAGCAGGGGTCAGATCATGAAGAACCTTATAAATCTGGCAAAGGGGTTGGGCCTTATAAGCACTGGGGAGCCATTTGCTTTAAAGGTGCTTTCAAAAGCTTTATGCTGAGGAGTGCCATGGTCAGATTTGCTTCCCAAAGATCACTCTGGTAGCCAGTGTAGAGAAATCCAGTGCAGAGAGGGTAACGTTGGAGCAAGAGAGCCCAGTGAGGCTCCTGAGATATTTCCTGACACCAGATTGTGAGGCCTGAATTAAGCTGGTGACAGCAGAGATGGGGGGCACAGATATGAAATATATCAGGAAGTAAAATCAGTAGGAATCAGTAACTGCTGAAATATTATAGGGAGAAAGGAATGGGGGTGGCGTGTAGTCAAAGATGGTGGTTGGCACTGATGGGCCATTCCACCTCCCTTTTGCTCCAGATGTATAACATAAACCGGTCAACAGATACCAAGGAAGCAGCAGCCATCGAGGCCAGAAGAAATCGAGAAAAAGAGCGACAAAACCGATTCTTCAATGTGCGGAACCGAGTCATAGGGGTGAGTGGGTAGTAGGGACTGTTGCTCGGGATCAGGGCCACCTCACTCTTACACCTGGAGAGGAATGTGTAGCAGTGCCCATGATAGCCCTTCCCCTGATTCAAGCAGGCCCCTAGGGTGAGAAAGGAAGGAAAGGGAGAGAAGGCACCCACCCCTACAGGCCTGGAAAGAGCTTGGGAAGAAGGATGGGTCAGTGCAGGGGAAGAGACTAGGGGAGACGGCTGACCCTTCTCCAGTCAGCTCTGGGCCATGTGACCTGGTTCTTGGGACAGGCAACATGGAGCTAAAAGAGGCCTAAAGAATATTTGGAGTCCGGGTGCAGTGGCTCACACCTGTAATCCCAGCACTTTGGGAGGCTGAGGCGAGCAGATCACATGAGGTCAGGAGTTTGAGACCAGCCTGGCCAACATGGTGAAACCCTGTATCTACTGAAAATACAAAAATTAGCTGGGCGTGGTGGTGCATGCCTGTAATCCCAGCTACTTGGGAGGCTGAGGCACAAGAATCACTTGAATCCAGGAGGAGGAGGTTGCAGTGAGCCGAGATCACAACGTTGCACTCCAGCCTGAGCAGCAGAGTGAGACCCTGTCTCAAAATTACTGCATATACCTAAACTATCTCTGCAAGGCTATGTTAAGAAACTGTTAACCAGGCTGAGAGACAGAGATGGGAGGGACACTTACTCCTCACTAAACTGTATTCCTTTTTGTATGATTTTGAAATGTGATAAATGAATTATAATCAAAATAAAGAGAAAATATTGATAGTTTAAGAAACAATGGCCGGGCGCGGTGGCTCAAGCCTGTAATCCCAGCACTTTGGGAGGCCGAGACGGGCGGATCATGAGGTCAGGAGCTCGAGACCATCCTGGCTAACACGGTGAAACCCCGTCTCTACTAAAAATACAAGAAAATTAGCCGGGCGAGGTGGCGGGCGCCTGTAGTCCCAGCTACTCGGGAGGCTGAGGCAGGAGAATGGCGTGAACCTGGGGGGGCGGAGCTTGCAGTGAGCCGAGATCGCGCCACTGCACTCCAGCCTGGGGCACAGAGCAAGACTCCGTCTCAAAAAAAAAAAAAAAAAAAGAAACAAAAGATTGTTAGGTGAGTGGATAGAGGGGGGATGCAGCATGGTATTCTGGAAAAGACCCCGTAACTATTTAAGGCCAGGTCTGCTGACTGTTGTGTGTGTAGCTTTGGATAAATCACCTATCTTCTCTGAGCCCCAGGCTCCTTTTCTGTAAAATGAGGCTGAAGGAAGTCAGGTGGGTATTAACACACAGTGGCAGCTTTGAAAACCAGTTCATAGTGCCTGCCTTAAGAAATTGGCTACAGTATTAGCGGTCTGATTGAGATCCAGCTGACAAGCTGACAAGCATTTCCTCGGGGCCTGTTCTGTGCCTAGCACTGTGTTGGGCAGTGGGGATACAGAAATGGCTAAGGCCCTGAAAGGGCTCACAGTCTGGTGGAGGAGAGAATACAGAGAGGCGAACTTCAATATAATGTAGACAGTGGGTTCTAGATTCTATGGGAGTAGAACCTACCTGAGGGGTCAGGAAGGTGAAGGCTGAGCTGGTCTCGAAGGATGAATTGGGATTTGTGTAAAGAAGGGAGGAAAATGTTTCAAGTGGAGGGAGCAGCTTGAGCAAAGGCTATTGGTTCAAAACAGCCTAAGATATTCAGGGAACTGTAAGCACAGCTCAGAAGGGTAAGGTGGGACAGGGGAAGAGGGTACTAAGAGATGAGGCCAGAGAAGGAAGCAGAGGCTAGACCATGGAGAGGCTTGCAAACCATGCTCAGGAGCTAGAACTTTATCCAGTAGGTACTGGGGAGCTACAGGAGGATTCTGAAACAGGTAAGTTCTAAGAAGTTTGTGGTAGGACATTGAAGGCCCCCTGCTGGGCCCCTACTCTGATTGTGCTCCTTTCTTTGGGATCAGGTGGATGTCCAGGCCCTGAACAACCAGGTGGGAGACCGAAAGCGTCGGGAAGCAGCAGAAAGAAGCAAGGAGGCAGCTTATGGTAAAAGCCCAAAGCCAGGGGCCAGACAAGGGTGTAAAGAAAGAGCTCGACTGGGCTGAGGTAGGGCAGTTCTGCCTCTGAGTGTGGCCTGAGGCCCTGGGGTGGTGGGACAAACCGGATGGACCTTGAGAGTAGAGGCCATGCTAAGTGGACTCTGTCCCTCCTGGGGTATCTTCTCCATATCCTTGCTCACCACCCCCAGGTACCAGCCAGGTGCAGTATGATGTGGTAGTCCAGATGTTAGAGAAGGAAGAGGCAGATCGAACACGTCGGCTGGCCAAGAAAGTCCAGGAGTTTCGGGAGCAGAAGCAGCAGCTCAAGAACGGGCGTGAATTTAGTCTTTGGGATCCAGACCAAGTCTGGAAGGGGCTTCCAACCTATCTTAGTTACAGTAATACCTATCCTGGTCCAGCCAGCCTGCAGTACTTCTCTGGGGAAGACCTAGACAGGGCCACACGGCTGAGAATGCAGCAGGGGCAGTTCAGGTACAACTTGGAAAGGCAGCAGCAGGAGCAACAGCAAGCCAAGGTTGATGAGAATTGTGCAGGTAAGCAGCCCGACCCTCCAGACTCCGAGACCTGAGGCCTAGTGGGGATCTGTCCTAAGCTGAGTACAGCACCCAGGGGACCAGAACTGTGTGGGGAGGTCCAATTATCCATAGGGTTGGTGCTGAAATGTTAGGTTGTGCAGACCCCAACCTCCCTGACTTCCTTCAGTAACTGACAGTGTAGCATTGTTCTTGATTAGTTTGGCACTCTTACCTGGAGACAGATCTAATGGCTCTGCCGCTTACTAGCTGGTTTGGGCAAATGGATTTTCCCTTCTGTGCTTCAGTTTCTTCATCTTTAAAATGAGAATAATAATCTATAACACATAGAGTAGCTACTATTATGATATTATCTGTGGCCACATCCTTTTCTTCCATTAGAAGAAGCCCTTCAAGGGTAAGGACCATGTCTTAACCTGCTTGCACTGTTCACCCTTCACATCTACCCTGTTACAGCACTCTGTTCTGTTGGACTACTTTTTAGTTGTAGCTAATTGTTAAAGTATTTGTTTAATATCTGTCTTCTCCCTAAAATGTCCGACTACTGAAGATGAACCATCTCTTTCATGTCTACCCATCTCCCATACAGTGTCTGACAGGTCTTAGGAACAGCAAGGAGCTCAGTGTGGCTGAAGCAGAAACAAATTGTCAGTACCTTTGCTCATGCCATGCCCTCAGCCTGGAATGCCCTTTGCTCTTTTAGCCTGTATACAAAATGTATTTCAAGGATCACCTCTTCCTGGAAACCTTCCTCTTTTCCACCACCCAAAATCCTCTTAATACCCTGTGTACATCCCTGCCATTGCTCTTGCCAGATTGTGGTCTATCTAGTTTGATCAGGGAGTTATCTGAGGATAGGATTTAATTCAATGGTATCATTAGAACCCAACACATGGCCCTTAGACTGAGATTCAGAGATATGAAATGATTTACCCAAAATCACACAGCTCAGAAGCAACAGAGCTGACATTGGGACCCAGGTCCATTGGAGGCATCTTTTAGTTATGCACTTGAGAAATCCTTGTTGCTGCACCTTGGCTGTTCCTAGCCAAGGGATGTGGAAGTAGTTCCTTCCACATCCCTACAACTCAGACACTACCCCCCTCCTAAACATTTGTACACACACAAACACAAAACTTGCTGAACAAATGGCTGGATGAGTGAAACAGGAATGGAGCAAGCCAGTACAGTACCCCGGCCATATTTCTCTGTGTAGATGCGCTCAGTAACCAGCTGCGCCTCGCCATGGACGCGCAGGCCACCCATCTGGCCAGGCTGGAGGAGTCCTGTCGTGCGGCCATGATGTGTGCCATGGCCAACGCCAACAAAGCGCAGGTATGGCCTGAGCCATCCAGTACCCTGGGCTCTCCCCAACTGCTGAACAAAGTCCTGGGGAACCTTAGCCACATTCTTCCTCTTATATCCCCTCTTCAATCAGCATCAGCCCTCTCATCTGAGTACTCCCCTTTCACCAAAGGCCCCTCTTAGGGTACAAGTCACCTCTCCCCACCTCCAGAAGCAGGATGACTTGAGAACAGAACATTGCCCTCTCATCCTCCGCTTCGCAGTCTAAAGGTTTCCTGAAGGCAGAGAAGTTCCCTGCCCATTATCCCCAACACATACGTTAGGGGCATTGAAAGGCCATGTAGTATGTGTTCTTTCTTTCCTTGAGATGGAGGAGTAGGGCCATGTTCCCCCCTCCCCTGTGACAGAGTTCCTTGAGGTTGGGCACCCAAATGTTTGCATTTGGGGGCTCCACCAGGCAGCTGTGCAGGCTAGGCGTCAGCGCTGTGAGCGTCAGCGTGAACAGAAGGCCAACCTTGCGGAGATCCGGCACCAGAGCAAAAGTGACCTACTGACTGAAAACCCCCAGGTCGCCCAACACCGTACGGCTCCCCACCGGGTCCTGCCCTATTGCTGGAAGGGCATGACTTCAGAGCAGCGAGCTGCCATCAGGAAAGAGCAGGAAGTACAACGCTCTAAGAAGGAAGCTCACCGTCAGGCTGAGAAAACACTGGATACTGAATGGAAAAGCCAGACCATGAGTTCAGCCCAGGCATTGCTGGAGCTAGAAGAGCAGGAGAGGGAATTGTGTGCTGTATTTCAAAGGGGTCTAGGCTCCTTCAACCAGCAGCTGGCTAATGAGCAAAAAGCCCAGTGAGTTCTAGGTGGTGGTGGTGGCGATAAATGCCAAGGGAGGGAGAAGAGGGATGGTGAGGAACCAGGGAGAGAGGGAAAGCATGTCAGCTGAGATCTCTGGACTTCTTTCACAGGCAGGATTACCTGAATTCAGTAATCTATACCAATCAACCTACAGCCCAGTATCACCGGCAGTTTAACACCAGCAGCCGCTAAGTTCAGGATGTTTATCTCTTCTCCTTCATCAAGCTCACAGGCGGTTAGGAGTCAAAGAGAAAAATGCTGCATACTCCCACCTTCTAACCTAGGTAATAAAGTTCTTCACTCAAAATCAAGTCCACGTGTTGTAACAGGACACAAAAAGTATTATGAAGGTATTGCCTTTCCCACCCCACCCTGGAGCTCTGAGCATCCAACCCTGTCACAGCCTTCACATTTCTTCCCCATGCCAGGCCCCCTAGCACACAACACTGCCTACACTCTATGAGAAAAAGAGACTTTATTAGGCACAAAGGACAACTAGTAGGCAGTTACAAAATGGCTACTGGGCTTCCTCCCAAGCTGGAGAGTAGTACCCCAGGGGAAGGAAGGGCAGAGGAGCGTGTGTTTTCTCTGCCTTCTCCCTTCAAGGCTGCATACGAATGGCCCCATCCAGCCGGATGACCTCTCCATTGAGGAATGGGTTCTCGATGATGGCCTGTACCAGGTGAGCATACTCAGCAGGGTCACCCAGTCGGCTAGGGAAGGGCACTTGGCTGGCCAAGAAGTTGCGCACTTTCTCTGGGAGGCTGGTCAGCAGTGGGGTTCCAAACAGACCTAAACAATATAGCCAAATTCAGAGACTCACCCTTGCTTTCATATTTACCTCGTTCTTCCTCACTTTAGCCCTACTTCTTGGTGCTTCCCTGGGGCCCAAAGATAAAAGGCTGCTGCTGCTTAGGTGGTGAATACCTTCTCCTCTCAACTGTCCATGGATCCCACCCAATCCCAGGTGTGACGGAGAGAGGGGATATGTCTACCTGGAGCAATGGTCATCACCCGGATGCCTATGGGAGCCAGATCCCGAGCAATGGGCAGTGTCATGCCCACTATTCCCCCCTTGGAAGCAGAGTACGCAGCTTGTCCAACCTGGAGAAAGAGTAGAGGTCATAGGTGGGAGGGCCCCAACAAGTCACTTAGGAGGAATAAGTCTTGCCCCTGCCCACACACCTGACCCTCGAAGGCAGCCACACTGGCGGTGTTGATGATGACCCCACGTTGGCCTCCCTGGTCTGGTTCATTCTGGCCCATCTCACCAGCCACCAGGCGGATCACATTGAAGGTGCCCATGAGATTCACCTGTAGGACAGGTAGAGACATAGTATAGGACCTGAGGCAGAAGAAGCCTTTGTCCCCTAAAAACTTTGGGGTCCTCCACAGCCAGACACCTCTTACTCCCACTATCCCTGGAGAACTTCCAAGGCCTTACATTAAGAACTCGCTGGAAGTCTTCCAAGGTATGGGCCTGGTTCTTCTTTAAGTTGTATGTCTTGATAGCCACCGCGATGCCGGCACAGTTGACAGCTACATCCACACGGCCAAACTTTTCTTTTGCTAGAGCCAGAGCTGTTTGCACATCCTTCTCAGAGGTCACCTTCAAAGGGAGAAGTGGAGAAGGTATTCATCTCCCAGCACACACTCTCACCACTAAACTTGAGGGAGGGCAGGGCAGGGCATGCCCAGTACTTGGGTGAGAAGAGATTTGTGAGAAGGGATAGGCCAAGAGAAAAGGTTGTAAAACTTGAGAGAGAGGCTGGGTGCAGTGGCTCATGCCTGTAATCTCAGCACTGGGAGGCCAAGGCGGGTGGATCACTTGAGATCAGGAGTTTGAGACCAGCCTGGCCAATGTGGTGAAACCCCGTCTCTACTAAAAATACAAAATTAGCCGGCATAGTGACACATGCCTGTAATCCCAGCTACTTGGAAGGCTGAGGCAGAAGAATTGCTTGAACCCAGGAGGCAGAGGTTGCAGTGAGCCGAGATCGTGCCATTGCACTCCAGCCTGGGCAACAGTGAGACTCTGTCTCAAAAAAAAAAAAAAAAAAAAAAAAATTGAGAGAGTAGGTCAAAGGTGAAAATGTTAGGTAATGTAGAGCAATGTTGCAAAACATTTTTCAAATCAATACCCTCTTGATAAATTCACATGCTCCTGAAGATTCTTAACTGCTGTGGATCAGAGCACTAATACAACCCTGTTGTGAGGCCGTGTGCAGTGGCTCACACCTGTAATCCCAGTACTTTGGGATGCCAAGGCAGGCAGATCACCTGAGATCAGCAGTTCAAGACCAGCCTGGCCAACATGGTGAAACCCCATCTCTTCTAAAAATACAAAAAAAACTTAGCTGGGCGTGGTGGCGGGTGCCTGTAATCCCAGCTACTTGGGAGGTTGAGGCAGGAAAATCGCTTGAACTCAGAAGGTGGAGGTTGCAAGGAGCTGAGATTGTGCCACTGCATTCTAGCCTGGGCGACACAGCGAGACTCCATCTCAAAAATAAAAATAACCCTGTTGTGAGAATTATTGATAGGAAGATAAACTAGCTTTTTTGTAACCTTACCTGCTAAGATGATTCATCAAGTTTTACTTTCTGTAGTTTGTTTCATGAAAACAAGTTTTTTGACTTTGTAAATATAAAATTACAAGGCACAATATGCATTTTCAAATCATACATAACTCCTCCAGGAGATTGTTATGTCCAATCCCCATCCCCATTGTTGTGAATCCCAGCTTTAGAGAATCCTTATCACAGGTGGTCTCACAGTGCTTGAAGGCTCAGGCCAAAAGAGACAAGGAGATGGGTCCACCGGCCCCATAGAGCAGACCCTTATGGGAGGGACCCCCACAGGTTCCCAGGCCGGTATTGGTGACCTCATGCACACCCTGGGAAAGGAGAGGTGACCCCACTTACGTCAGCTGGGGCGAAAACGCAGTTGTTTCCTAACTTCTTGGCCTGGGCCTCCCCACCCGAGTTGGGCAGGTCCAGAAGCACAGCGGAGGCTCCCTGCCCCACCAGTCGCTCCGCCGTGACCAGGCCCAGGCCCGAGGCTCCTCCGGTTATTACCGCCACCAGGCCCTGTCAAAAGCGACACGGTCAGGGTCAGCTGTTACATTGACCATACCATCCCCACGCTGTCACCTGCCTGTTCTCCAGCCTTCTGAGGAGAAGGGGGGAGGGGAGCGGTAGTGGTCACCCCTGCGGGTAAACCAGGTGTGCCGCTTCTCCTCACCGTTGGGACCTCGGGGGCAGGGGGAATCTCATCCCCAGACAGCCCGTCCCGTGACCCTAGATAGATAGATAGATAGATAGATAGATAGATAGATAGATAGATACATAGATACATAGATAGATAGATAGATAGATAGATAGATAGATAGATAGATAGGTGAGCCGCGGAGTGTTTACTTTCACCTCCTGAGCCCAACGGCCACAATACCAGGCCTACATAAGCATCACCCTTTCCCCCGAAACCGATCTCTTTCTCCTAGTTTCACGGCCGCGCTGACCCGGCCCGTAAAGGAAGGCAAGCAACAGAGGCAAAGAACCTACCTTCACGCTCCGACACGCTGCTGCCATCTTGTCGCTGGCCACTCCACCGGATGGGGGCGCAGGCGCTCGCTGATTGGCCGAGGCGAAGCGGCGGAAGGGGCGGTTGCGATGGAGCGGGGCGTCTGCCGCTGCCGCGTGAGACGTGGGGGCGTGGCCTGGTACCTTAGTACCTTGGTCAGAGGGCGAATTCCTCCTGCTAAGGTATCCCCAGAGAGTTATTTCAGCTGGGGAAAGAGACCAATAGCAGCAGTACAATACCACAACACCCCTCGCCCTACTCTCTAGGTGACCTTTTGGCAAGTGGCCCGCTCCGCGTGGGGGAAGAGGGGTGGATATTGAGAACGGGTGCCTTTCTCCTCTGAAAAAGCCTGCCTTCGAGTATGAATGTATTTGAGACTCCTATATGCTAGACTGTGTGCGGGGCACCTGAGATACCCAGAGGAATAATAAAAGATTCATGCCTTCCAGGAGGGTACAGTCCAGTTGGAGAAAGAGAATTACAGTACAGACACAGACGAATGGACGGAACCAGATTCTGGGACATTCAGACAAGGAGATCCAAAGATGAGGAATCTGAGTTACAGAGAGAGAGCCATGTAAAGAGAAATATGTTGAGGCCGAGATAGATAGGAAGAGAGATGCCAGATAGGATCACAGAGAGATGAATGTGGAGAGCCGCTAAGAGAGACGCTTGGAGACAGACATTCTAGGACAGCTGCTGAGAAGCACAAACCTAAAGAGGCAAAAACATCTTTCATCAGTTCAGGCGTTGCTACTGTCCTCTATCTTTGTCTAATTTATTTTAAGTCCAAAAGCCCAGATCACACACTGCAGATTGGACTTCAACCGGAGACTATTATTTAAGACCCAGGTCTTGGTCATCCTAGAACATCTTTCAGCCAGCTACCAGAAGCTATGTCATTAGAGTCTTGAGCCCCAGATATCTAATCTGTCTTCCTTCTATACTTTTCCTCAAACCAAGGTCTTGAGGCCATAAATCTTAGCCTACCATTTCAGCCTCATAACTGCTTTATGTTTTCTCTATCTGAAATATCTCCCCCCACCTGCTTTCTCACCCAGGAAGATTCCCCTCCAGGCCTTCTAGTTGTTGACAGCCACCACACTCATAATCACTATGCAGTATTTACCAAAGGGTTTAGCACACCGGACTCACAATTTTCCTATCTACATGAAGTACTTCCATCAATTTATAGCACTCTTCATCCAGCCTAATATGCTGTAGCCACAGTGGCCTCCTTTGTGTTCATCTTTGCATTAGCTGCTCCCTCTGCTTGGAATGCTCTCCCCTGATCTTTGTATGACTGCCTTTATTTTTTTTTTCATTCAGAACTAAGCTTAAATATCACCTTCCCAGAGGGGTCCTCCCTAAATATTCAAACTGTAGCCACCTAGACACTATCCCATTGCATATTTGAATTCTCTTCATAGCACTTGCATATCCATAATCCATTTTCCAGCCTTAGGGCCAGATGTGCTGTGGAATTCAGAGTTTTTTTCAGTTTGAGAAAGGAAGACATGTAACTGATATTACATAACTCTTTAAAAAAACTAGTCAAACATAACTCTTTATATAGTCTATATTATATATTTATTGAGAAAGGCCTGGAGCATGGTAATGAATCATTAATATTTCTGAAGTGAAAGATATGAAAATTCACACCAAGTGTGAATAAAGACTATAAATAGCCTCACACTACTGCAGGTCAGGTTTTGTCACCTATTGAGTTTGG